AAGGACCTTGCACTTGAGCCCTCATGTGTGAACTGACTCAGAGTCCCTGGGCTTCGCTCTCTCAGGCTGGCAGTCACGTGCTCCAGCAGCTCCTTCTGGCTTCACACCTGAGGCTGGGACTGGGTGTCTCTGTCCCTGCCTGCCCTGTGTGGCCTCAGACAACGTGCCACTCCACTGTGGGGGTCCTTGCTGCCCCTCACTGTCCCGGCTGCCGCCAAAGGGTCTGATGAGGCAGCTGGACGGGAGGGAGAGCTCACGTGCTGGGCAGGAGGCAAGGTGGCGCTGGCAGAAAATGCCGCCTCCGTCTCTCCCTCAAACGGACCGTTCTGAAGTTGTCTTTCTTTCCTTCCTTCCTTTTTTGGGACAGGCTTTCTGAAGAGGTCCCAACAGGGTGAGCAGCCAGCTGTGTGTGTCTGTAAGGCAGAGCCTCATCTCAGCAGGGTGTCATCTTGTGTGTGCTTTCCAGACTTTTCTTCCTCACCTCCCTTTTCCTTTTCTACTGCTACCCTGGGACTGCAATTCCCAGTAAAGGGCTCACCTCAGACTCCGTTCTCAAGAGAGCCTGAAGGCAGAGCTGGAGAGCGTGGAGAGTGGGCTACCAGAGGAAGAACAAGGAAGAACATTCTAGGCAGGGGGACAGCACACACAAAGGCCCTCCAGCAGGCGAGCACCTGACCTGTCTGAGGATGGTGCACGAGGCTGGAGCAGAGCGGGCAGGGGCAGGAGGGCGGCAGCAAGGCCAGATCACGGAGTGCCTTGTGGGGGCAGATAGTCAGAACTCCGATAGGAAACCATGGAGAGTTCTGTGCAACAAGATGTGACTTACACTTTAATGGAGTTGCAGGGTTGAGGCAAGGGGGAAACAAGGAGACCTCTCAGGGCGCTCTTGCCATGGTTCAGTGGAGCTGCCAAGAGGCTGTCCAGGGTACCAAGGGCATTCTGTCACTCCTGACCCCCCCCAATATCCTGGACACCACCCATCTCATCCCCATAGCCCTCCCCCAGATAAGCAGCTGGTCCTTTATGCTCTGAGTGAGTCATTAAGGTGATCAGAGGTAGCAGCAGAGTGGCTAAGGGGACAGGTCCTGGATGGCCTGGGTTTCAGCTGGGTTTCACCACTTCCTAAGTGTGTGATCTTGGACAAGTTCCTTAACCTCTCTGTGCCTTGTGTCCTCATTCGTGAGATGGGAACAACAGTAGTTTCTGCCTCCTACTGGTTGTTAGAAGGGTTAAATGACACAATCCATGCAAGGTATCTGGACTGTAATATTAGCTTGTATTATCACTGCTAATCACTACAGAAAAACAGACAGGGGGCTGGGCGCGCTGGCTCACGCCTGTAATCGCAGCACTTTGGGAGGCTGAGGCAGTGGATTACCTGAGGTAAGGAGTTTATGACCAGCCAGACCAAAATGGTGAAACCCCGTCTCTACTAAAAATACAAAAATTAGCTGGGCGTCATGGTGTGTGCCTGTAGTCCCAGCTACTTGGGAGGCTGAGACAGGAGAACTGCTTGAACCTGGGAGATGGAGGCTGCAGTAAGCCAAGATTGCACCACTGCACTCCAGCCTGGACGACACAGCAAGACTCCATCTCAAAAAAAAAAAAGGAAAAAAGAAAGAAAAGAAAAGAAAAACAGAAGGGTAACAAAAGTAATTTTAAAAGACAGAGAGTGAATTGTCACAGTAGCTGTCTCTGGCTTGTATTCTTGTATTTAAAGGACTAAGAACTCAGTGCCACCCCCAGCCCAGGCAGTCCTTGGAGGAGCATCAGGTATCTGAAGCCACCGTGCTGTCTGGGCCCTGGGCACTTTGCACGTAGCTCTCCTGGTTTTCACTATTTTGCACTTAGCTCCTGGTTTTCACCCAAGTCCAGCCCCTGTGAGCCTGTCTGAATACGACCCACTAGTGCCCCGACATTACCTTAAGTGGAAAATAAGTATTTTTGCAAAGAGGACAGAGTAAGCTTGGCAGAAATGTGAAAGCCAAATCATCAGAAACTTCGTCATTCCAGAAAATGCGTCTCTCAGCCCTGGCGGCTCTAATAGACCAGCCTCATTTTGAGAAGGTGGCAAAACCAACACCCCTGTCAAAGTGGACTTTGCCTCCTGCCTTCCACAGATGTGTACCCAGAGCTGGCTGGACCAGCTGTCCCTGGTGAGCTCCTAGGAAACCTGTTTCTACCTTGTGGCAGGTAGGGGGAGGAAGGGCGGGCAAGCACTTATTTGCTCTGGGTGCCAAAGCCCAGGACGGAACATGACAGCCTGGTGGAAAAGGGGCTGCCAGAAGCCAACATGAGCCTCTGGGCGTGAACCTGCCCTTGAGGCCCCCTTCACGTGTCTGCGCACTGGCTCTGCCCACAAGAACAGTCAGACTCAAGGAAACAGGTTAAGCTCGGACCCCTGACCAGGTCACTTGGCCATATTTGTGGTAGCTGGGTTGCCTCAACCTGACAGAGCACCATTCAGAAAGTACAGTCCACAACAAGAATGGAGAGCCTGGGATCAGGAAGAAAAGCAGCCGGTGGGGGTGGGGAAGGAGAGGGGCCAGGAGCAGAAACTACTGGCTGGTGGGGTCACAGGGGTTCGTTACCCTATTCTCCCTACTTTCATAGATATTCATACTTTCCATAATAGTGTTTAAAAATTAGGAATGAAAGCACAGCCTGGGACCCAGTTCCAGTTTCCACTGCCACTGCCAGGACTGGTGAAGTCTTACTGTACTCCATACCCTCACACCCTAAGGCGGAAAAGCATTTTTTTGTGGAAATCAGAAATCAGTGTTCAGTTACCAGAGGAGTCCCACCTCATGAGGTCACAGCTTGATGTATATCCACAAACAACATACCCATGTCACATGTCACCAGACGCAGGACACTGCCAGCCCCCCAGAGGCTCCTTGTGGCCCTCCCAGCCACCGTCTACCCCACGGGGACCCACTAGCTTGGCTTCTCGCAGCCTAGTGAATTCTGCCTGCTTTTGAACTTTACATAATAAGGATCATACAGCATGTACTGTCTCTGCAAGTGCTGCAGGATTTTACAACCCCAAATATTATAACATGTTTTCTACTTCCTGGTAGGAGCCAAATCCCTGAGGCCAGCCTGCTGTAATCCTGAGAAAATGTTTGTCCTGCTAAATAAACAGCCGCGCTCTCCATGGCAACGGTTGGGTAACTGCGGAAAATGTGACCGCAGCCGTCCAAATATGGAGGGAAGGAGGTGCACCAGGGAGGCATTGTCTTGGCCTCACCAGGACACCTTTAATGCTCTCAATTCAGACTTTTAAATCCTTACATTTTTAGAACTACAAGACTTTACAGCAATAAGAAAGGCAAAAGTGTCAGCGGCTGAGCTACTCTGAATTGCGGGAAGCTGAGGCATCTGCTCCTCCTGCACCTGGTTTCTTAAAGAGCAGATTCTGATTCCTCTATGTCACCCCAGGAAGAGCACGAGGAACCCTTCGAGGCCGGTGAGGGATCAGCACAGCAGCCCACTCTGTCTTGGGAACTACCAGCCTCTGAAAACCAAGTGGCCTTGACTCCTGTCACCCGTCACTGCTGTTCATTTACTGCTTCTAATGTGCTCTAGACTTGGAAATATGGTAACAAACTTGTTACAAATGTGTACACGATGAGCATAATGAGTTGAAAGGAGGGCCTGGTCCCTAGGGGAGAGTGCCTGGGCTTGGGGAGGGGCCCATCAGAGGCCCCCTCTAGACTGTCTGATTCTCCCTTGGTTCTGAAGGTTGGTCAGCTTTCCAGAAGTGTGGGGACAGTCTCTGCCAAGCTTATGGAATTGTGTGTTTCTGGCTCACTCTGCCAGAGTAGTTTTCAAAAGGTAAAAGCACACCCAGAGCCTGTCTTTCTTCTGACTAAACGCCAAGTGGCCCTGCCAGCTGTTCAATGACCTGACAGAGCCGTGGTTTGCTGAGTCCTGGTGAAGTTACATCATGGCTTAAAAACAGCAGTGTGACGACCAGTATTTTTGAGAAAGTTCAGTGTGTATGAGAAATAGTGCACAGGAGAGGAATCTTTCCTTGTTCCTTGTAAGCACTGCAGATGTGGCTCACAGGGGAACATTACCTGGCCCAAAGGCAAGAGCATATCAGAAGCCTCTGTCTCCTGCGAGAAACCTGGGAAAAATCAACTGTAGGGTAACAGAAAATCAAAAACCTGGGAATTAAATTAGACCTCTGAGACTGCCCAATCTGAGTCCCTCCGAACAAATGAAACTGAGGCCCAGACTGGGAGCCAAGGCTCCCAGCAGCAGCCAGCTGGCTGACGCAGGGCTCCCCCTTCCCACCTGGCACTCCAGTCTCCACAGAAAGCCAGGGAGGGCTGCGTTAGTTCTATACCAATGAATCACACCAAGGCGACAGTGACAGATAACTGCAAACACCCACGGTACCATCCCCGCGCTGGCACACCACACAGCTTCCACTTAAAAAAAACAACGGAGTCCCTTTCTTCATTATAGTCATATAGCACACAAAACTCAATTCACCTTGTATTTTAAAACTCAATTTCCAAATAAAGCCTTCAGGTAGAGTCCTATTTTCTTCTCAGGCACACCCAGTCTGGGACCAGAAGCCCCAGGTCGGGGTAGAAGTTGGCATCTCCCCTTGGAAGCCAAGAAGTCTAGTGATCCTGCTGTGCCATATAAAAGTGAGAGGGGTCCAGGGGGGCTCTGGCCATGGTGTGGGGTTCTTAACACATTTCCCGGACTTAAGGCCCCTCCTCCCAAATTACAGCCCACCCAGGATTCAGCACCCAAGTTGAGGCCTTCACTGAACCTCTGAAGCTCATCCTGCCCCAGGGCGATGGGAAGATCCTGCAGACAGCCTGGGCCTGGGCCTCAGTTTGCTCATCTGTCAGGCTGAGGGGTTACTCTGGGTGATTTCAGGGTGCCTTCTGGCTCTGTTCTGTATGAATCAGCTTTCCAAACGGGTTCCTTCTGTGTAGGTTACAGAAACCCTGGCAACCAACTCGTCATCCCTTACCCTGGCCTTCCTGAAGGGGGAAGCAGGCCACCTCCCACCTCCTGGTCTATGTCTGGGACTTGGCAGCCAAAGTACATCCCAGAAGGTAGGTGCGACTGCTGCACCAAAGAGTGGACACCCCCATTCCTTTCTATCCAGTCCGGGGAGAGGGTATTAATACAGGGTGGTCCAGGGGAGGCAAAGGGGCGAACATCAGGCGGTCTCCCTGCCCTCAGGTTCCCAGGCCTGGCTTGGCACAGGGACTTCCTTGTCCCTCTGATCACCTATTCCAGGAGACCCGTGGGTGTCCAGGAAAAGCTCCTAGATCAGCGCCCTTCCACAGCCCTTCCCCAGCCCAGGACTTGGCCCTGTGGCCTCAGAGGAGGCAGTCAGCTCCCCGAGGGACCTCCAGATCCCAGGGCCGGCTGCGCTGACCCCTGATTTCCTTGGCCTTCCCCAGGGGAGGGGAGGGAGGGTTCCCAAAAGAGAATCGCCCACGGAACCGCAGCCCACGCGCAGTCACTCAGCAACTCGGTGCCCTACACACGCTGCCGCCTCACCTTTCGGACCTCAGGCTCCTGAGCTGCGAAACGGGGGTTCGAGTCCCCAACCCGCGGTGTCAGCGCAATTCAAACGAGCGCACCCTGCGCGCAGCTCGGCCGCCCTCCACCTGAGACAGGGCCAACGGCACACGCCCCCACGCCGGCGCCGTTTCAAGCAGAGGAGTCCAGCGGCCCAGGGAACTCCCGGCGGCGCCGGGACCCCGACCTGCCCGAGGCCAACGCGCGGGCGGCGGTTACGTAAGCCGCAGCGGGGCCGCGCCGCGCCACTTACCGCCCGGCCGCGTTCGCGTCGGCCCGTCCGCCGGTCCCTCCGCCGACTCGTGGCTCTGTCCGCCCGGACCCGCGCCCGCTGCCGCCGCCGCCACCACCGCCCACAGCTGCACGTAGCCCCTCAGCGCCGCCGCCTCCGCCGCGGCCGAGTCGCCGCTGTCACATAGTGGAAAACGTGACCGCGCGCGCCGCGCCCGCCCCCGGCGTCCGCCATTGGCCGCGACACCGTCTCATCTGCATACACGTGGGGCGGGGCCCACTAGCGCCGCGCGCCCATTGGTAGCGGTGCCCGTCGCTCTTTTTACATAAGACGCACATGGAACTCCATGTTCACCTCGTCGGTTCTTCAATGGAGATGCGGCGCGTTCTTGCCCCCCGTCGTCCTCCCTAGTGGTCTCATCCACTTCCGGCGTCGGCGCCTTCCATTCACGACGCCCTCGAGTCCGCCAGCTCCGGGAGCGCGGAGTGGCGCGTACCATTGCGGGCGGGGGAGCTGGGCGCGGGGCTCCTGTGCACCTCCGGCCGGCCTGGCCGACCTGGCGCCCCGAAGCCCGACCAGGGAAACCTCCACCTCCGGCCACCGGCCAGAGGCGCGCCCCCAGCGGCCAGGGCCGCGGGAAAGTCTGCGCAGCATGCTTCATTCACACATTCATTCATTTACTCATTCACTCATTCGTCGCCGGGCCCCAGAGCAGCCTAGGAGAAGGTGGCTGCACCGCCCTGCAGCAGCTGCTGGGGCACGCCCACCCGGGCCTCAGAGGTGCCTGTGGTCCACACTTGTCCCGGCAGTTACCACGTGTTACAATTTTTGGTTCAGGAAATAGAGTCACTGTTACTCTGGGGAGGTACAAAAGAAAGAAATGATGTTGTCTCTGCCCCCAAGCGCATCACTAGGGAGAAAGGACTGTCTCATAAAAAGGAAACTTAATCAAATGCTAAATTGGGCGATGTGGGCTATAAATTAACCAGAGCTATCCCCACAGGCTCCGTGAGAAAGGCAGCACTTCCAGGGCGGGTAGGATGGGCCCTGAGAAAGGGACACCTTAGGAAGGTGCAAGCGGTAGAGACGGAGAAGCCCGTGGTGGGAGGTTGTCCTGGGAGCCAGTGCGGCAGCGTGCATCACCTTGTCTGAGGGTTTGCTGTTTCAGTAAGCATTGTTTGGGGCATGATGAGCCTCTAAACTTCCATTTAAAGTGTCAGGAGAGAGAGTACAATTTCCCCTGGTCTGGGTAGAAGCCTGAGACTTACAGGACAGGCAGGAGCTTGCAGGCTCCCATGCAGCAGACTCTGAAAGTGCAGGCTCCCATGGGGAAGGCGAGATTGTCCAGGAAGCTGGAACCCGCAGCATCTCTCTTTACTCTTCTTGTTCTTCTTTACCTGGACTCGCCTGGGGACCAGGGATGGGACAGAAGGAAAAGTTATTAACCCACATCAGGAATTCCTGAGTGTGCTAACTCTTTCCCTTCTACTTGACAAGGTGTGTGTGCAACTTCTGATGCAAACCAGGGCAAATACCAAGTTCATCAGGGCAGCCCTTCCCGCAGAAGCCCAGGGAGGCCTGCAGGCTGTTCACACACTGTCAGGTGGCCCCTCCTCCTGTTCCTCTGACATTGACATCTCAACACACTCCCCGCCCCCTCTCCCTAACACAGACACACAGAAATGCCAAGCAAATCCAGGCCCGGTTGCGCCCTGCACACACCCAAAGGCTCTTTTGTTTCTTCCCTCCCATTGACGTCAATGGGGAGCTCCATTGTTCTGGAAACAAGAGTAAACAGCTCATCCACACCTTACTGAGATTCTTCTTCAGGCTTTTGCTGGGTCTTGCTCCATATTCAGCCTGCTACCTGATGTCACATTTCCTCCCTAAATGTAGCCTTTTTCTATTTCCACGAATAAACCTGGTAGAAAGACACCGAAATCTATTCTTTTAGAAATTATCAAGTGCTTTGGGCTCTAGGACTCTTCAGAATCTCATCTATTTTCAGTTATTCACAGCCAGTTTCTTCTTTCCTATTATTGGAAATTTTTGTACACTCCACAAATACTCGTTAACACCTGAGACTTGAGGGGCATGCAAAAATACGTCTCACTGTATCCCTGCTTGTAAGGAGTTTGTGATGCAGAAGGGGGGAGGAGGCAGATTCAGAGGCAATTTTGTCTAAGATGTGGTGTAGGTCCTGAGGGAATAGGACAGCGATGGACAGATGCCTCCATCCCAGCTCCAACAGAGGATAGCGCTCAGGGGATGAGCTCCTACAATCAGGCCAAGTGCATGGATACCATTCTTGCTGAACCAAGATGGTGACAGAGAGGGGGAGAGAGAGAGAGAGAGAGAGCGAGTGCAAATTTGGGCAGTCAGATTGGAGAAGGAAGGGGGATGAACCCTTTCCTAGCCAGCCCACACTGGCCAGCTATCACCTCCAGCACAGAGCTCAGAACTCTTGTGTAGGAGAATTGCTGTTGGCACTGTGGGAGGCAGGCTGGCTAGGAGAAAACTAGTCCTTTATTTGGGGGTGGAGGTGAGGTGGTATGCCAGGGTCCCCAGCTACCTTGGGAATGCTACCAGTGGGAGGAGCTGGCCTCCCAGCTAAAGGCTGCTTGGCCCCTGCCCCACCCACTCCCACCAGCCTGTTTCCACCAGTAAGCCTGGCCCAAGTTGGCCCTGCCCATCTATGTCTGGGCCTGCCTGTAGGGCTTCTCTGCACCCAGTCCTCCATGCCCTTGCCAGTCCACTCACTGGCCCTCTCATTCGCTCAAGCACCCAGCCAATTGTTTACTGAGCAACTACTGTGTACCAGGCACTGTGCTGGTCACTGCTTCCTCTCACTGTGGGTGGCATGGTTTGTGGGTTGGCTAGCTGGAGGGGCAAAGAACAGGCGGCTAGGAAGAGAATTCCCTCTGTAAATGGAGGAGGTGGTGGCCCCCAAAGTCCTCTCTAAAGAGATGGAGGGGACACTGTCAAGCTTTCTGGCCCTCTAGTGCTGGATCCCCTTTCTTGGGTTTAGGGACATTGGAGATGGTAATGCCCAACCCTTACTCTCCAGCCTCCCTTGAACCCAGCGCTGACCTACAGCTGACCCCAGCTTAGCATGGTGGCAGCTCCTGGCAGGGAGACCCGGCTCACAGAGGTGACCTCAAGGGCGTGGGCACCTGTGTCTAGGGTCTCAGGGTGAGACAAGGACTACTTGCCTCTAGTGACCTGAGAGCAGGTGCCTGTCCCTGGACATGAGGTGGTTTGTGGACCAATATAAAGAAGTATCTTCCAGCTCTTTGGGAGGCCGAGGTGGGAGGATTTCTTGAACCCAGGAGTTTGAGAACAGCCTGGGCAACATAGTGAGACCCTGTCTCTACAAAAAATAAGAAAGCCAGGCATGATGGCATGCTCCTGTGGTCCCAGCCACTTGGGAGGCTGAGGCAGGAGGATCCCTTGAGCCCAGGAGTTTGAGGTTGCAGTGAACTGTGATTGCGTCACTGCACTCCAGCCTGGGCAACAGAGCAAGAGTGAGACCCTGTCTTTTAAAAAAAGAAGAAGGCATCTTTATTATGCTAGCTACCTACTGAGAAGACTTTTTGATTTTTAAACTAAATATAGATCCAGGGAGGCTGTTCTTTGTTTGGTGGAGACATGTGGGTGTGGTGTGCTCATATGTCTTCCCCAAGGAAGTCACAAGATTGAGCCATCCACGATGGATGTGCAGTCCCCATCTTTCTTCACCTTGCCCTGGAGAAGAGCCCGGGGAAAGGAGCTTGCTTGGAGCCTGGAACGTTAGCATCCTTGTCCCAATGACTCCTTTGCAAAGGATGCCCTAGAGATCACAGGGCCGGTGGCACAAGCTAAGACCTGCATTTGATGTGGGATAGAATGGTGAGAGTGGGCATCCTTGCCCCGTTCCACCCTGGGGGAGGAAGTGTTCAGTATTTCACCACCAGGTATGATGAGCCTTAGATGTTTGGTTTTTTATGGATGTCCATTGCCATATGTTCTAATTTGCTAAGACTTTTATTTGTTTTTCTTTCTTTTTCTTTTTTATAGATGTCCCTTGCCATATATTCTAATTTGCTAAGATTTTTATTTGTTTTTCTTTTTCCTTTTTTTTTTTTCCTTTTTTAAGATGGAGTCTCACTCTTTCACCCAGACTGGAGTGCAGTGGCATGATCTCAGCTCACTGCAACCTCTGCTTCCCGGGTTCAAGCTATTCTCCTGCCTCAGCCTCCTGAGTAGCTTGGCTTACAGGCGCGCGTCACCACGCCCAGCTTTTTTGTGTGTGTTTTTAGCAGAGACAGGGTTTCACCATGTTGGTCAGGCTGGTCTCAAACTCCTGACCTCATGATCCACCCGCCTCAGCCTCCCAAAGTGCTGGGATTACAGGCATGAGACACCACTCCCAGCCTTGTTTTGCTTTTTTTTTTTTTTTCCCCCAATCATACATAGGTGCAGTGGGCTTTTAATCCATGACAATAGCGGCCTTACTGTAATCCAGCACTTGGAGCTAACGGGGGATCAAAGGTGATCGACCTCTGGCAAACGGTGAACCCTACAAAAAATACAAAAACTACCGGAGGGGCCCTGTCAGCTACTCCGGGGGGCAGGAATGCGAACCCGGAGGCGAGTGCGTGAGCTGGATCCGCCACTGCACTCACCTGGCCAGACCAGACTCTCCAAAAAAAAAAAAAAAAAAAAAAAAATCCATACAATAGTTATTACTTCAAAAATACCTCTCCCAAATACATCTAATCTCTTTTTTTTTTTTTCAGATCTGCAAATAATTTAAATTGCCATAGCTTTGTCTCTGCTATACAATACTCTGTATAGATGTGTTTACTTTATTATTGTATCCTAAGACAAAAAATATAAATGAATAAAATAATTTGTACCTGAAGATTCTGTCTTTTTAATGCTATACATGCCCTCTTTATTGCTACAGAATTCAGTGATTAAATTGTACCCAACTGACTTCTCTTATTATCAGTTTTGCAAATAAAAGGCATGCTTTTAACCAAAGCCAAGAAACAATTTGCTATCATGTCACTTGAAAAACGATTAAAACTTCAAACTTTCTGGTCATTAAGGCCATTAAGAAAAACCAAGGATTTGGGAGGCTGAGGCAGGCAGATCACCTGAGGTCAGGAGTTCGAGACCAGTCTGGCCAACATGGTGAAACTCCATCTCTACTAAAAATACAAAAATTAGCCGGGTGTGGTGGCGCACATCTGTAATCCCAGCTACTCGGGAGGCTGAGGCAGGAGAATTGCTGGAACCCAGGAGGCAGAGGCTGCATGAGCCGAGATCATGCCACTGCACTTCTGCCTGGGTGACACGGCAAGACTCTGTCTCAAAAAAAAAAAAAGAAAGAAAGAAAAAAAAAAAAGAAAAAGAAAAGGAAAAAAGAAAAGACAAAGAAAAAATAAAAAGTGAAACCAAGGATTTAACTGAGACGAAAGCTGTGCCGTTTGGTGGGGAGAGGGTAGCAGTGGGTAGGTGATGCTGTATGGCACTCCTGGTTTGAGTTGCAGGTCAAGTCTCTGCCTCAGGAACTTGTGGACTAATTTGTGGATCAGGTTTTCTGGTCTCAGGCAGCTTGAGTTTCTTTCCAGGGCTTCAGGGCAGCCAATACCCCTCACTGTCCTGAAGGAGCCCAAGGAGAGGCAACTTGCCAAAACGCCTGCCCTGTCTGAGCTGATCCCCCACACCCAAGGCGATGCGCCCTGTCTGAGGCGATACCCGTGTTCAAGGTGATCCCCCACGTCCGAGGCGCCTCTTCCTTCCCAGGTGGAGGGTCTCTTATCGGTCAGGGTGTCATCCTGCTGACCTTCTGGGCCATGGACCTTGCCCAGGCAGGCCCCCGCATCAGGCTCCCTGGCTCTCTCCCTCTCTGTCTAGTGTGTGTCCTGCAGGGCTGTTGCCTCAGTGTGGTTCTGCCAGCATTCCTGGGGTGTCACTGAGGGGTAGCCCAGTTGGCGCCTCCAACCATGGACATCTTGGAGTCAGGAATGGGGGCCTTGCATGCTCTGGGGACCAACAAGGCCCGGTGTCATTAGGGCTCCTGATCCTGGGTGACACGAAGAAGAATGCAGAAGCCTGAGTTTGGGGCTTTGCATTCATACATGAGTATGGCCCTTGGGCCCCCCCGTGGCCTGTGAACAAGCTGTGAGGGAGCACGTGCTTGCTGTGTTGAGGCATCACGCTTGGCACTTGGCACACATTCTCTTCTTTAATCCTCACCACTCTATAGGACATGCGCCTGCGTTCCATTGATCCTTTGCAAAAGACATTCTCGACACCACGACACCAAAGGAATCCTGTGCGTCTGTGTTTTATGTCATCAAGGAGAAACTACCTTTGTCTGCAGAAAGATCTCATGGCCACCCTCACCACCCTGTCCTTATGGAGCCTGAGAACCAGCTGACTCAGCAGGGAAGGCCACAAAGTCAGGAGCGACCAAAGTCCAAGCTCCAACGTGCCTCCCATTCTCCAAATATCAAACATTCTCCCCACTCAAAAGCTCCTCTGTGACTTGGCGAATGCAGGTGCTCCCTGCATTCTATTAATGTAATTCCCCTCAGTCCATAAGGGCTCATAGGTGGGGATGGCTGGGGTGCAGGTCCGTCTTGGGGATCACCAGCCCACCAGTGATGCCAGTTCACAGTGCCCTCCTTGGGAGAGTGAAGGCTCAGGCCTGTGCACCTGCCTCACCCTCTGCCTGCTTCTGTGGCTCACAGAGTGTTTCCTTTGGTGTCTGGGTGTTTGTTCTCTCCTGCTGTCTTCTCCCTGGTGCCCAACATGGAAAAAACATTTCTTGTCCCTAAACCGAATCTTGTTGGTAGGAAGCAACAAAGTTGTTGTTGCTGTTGTTGTTGTTGTTTCTCTCTTCTTCTCCTTCTTCCTTTTCTTCTTCTTCTTTCTTCTCCTCTTTTTCCTTCTTTCTTCTCTCCTCCTCCTCCTCCTTTCTTTCCTTCTCCTTCTTCTCCTTCTCCTCCTCTTTCTTTTTCTTTTAGAGATAAGGTCTTGCTGGAGTGCATTGGTGTGATCATGGCTCAGTGAAGCCTCAAATCCCTGGCCTCAAATGGTCCCCCTGCCTCAGTCTCCCAAAGCCCTGGGATTACAGGCATGAGGCAGGCAAAGGGGTCTGACTGGGTTACCCTGAGGGTGGAGGCATCCTCTCGAGGGCTGGGTGATGAATTTCCTGGCTGAGGGCAGAGGCAGGAGCCCAGGTGACTTAGAGCTGTGACGGCAGTGATCGTGAGGCCTGACCTGTGATGGTTCCATTGTGAAGAGCAGCTGGGAGCGAAGGTTGCCCGTGTACCCATCTTCTCAATCCTCCTCAACAGATGGAGTCCTGCGAGGAGGAGGAAGGGAAATTGGGAGACACCCTACCCACTGCCCAGGCCACCACTGAAGCTGGGGAGCTTTGTTACAGGGAGGAAGCCATGTGTAGGTGGACTGTTGGGATGCACAAAGGAAAACTGGGCTCCTTCTGGCCCTGCTGCCACCCACACCCGGGGAACTCTTTGAAAGCGCGGATGGTTGATTTGCACGATGAGGGGTGACATGTGCTGCTGAATGAAGCAAATGATGAGTCGGGGGATCCACACAGCACCCCTGCTTCAGAGTCAGTCGTGTGCCCTCCTGCTTCAGAGTCAGTCGTGTGCCCTCCTGCTTCAGAGTCAGTCGTGTGCCCTCCTGCTGCAGAGTCAGTCGTGTGCCCTGTGACCATGGCCATGGGCAGACATTCCCAGTGGGTGCTTGATGACCACGGTGTGGCGGCCCCAGGGAGCGTTCCCTGAGACCTTGAGCATAAACCCAGGCATCCCCACCGAGGCTGCAGCCACTCTGGAAGAGCTTTCTGGGCTCATGTGGTTGATGAGAATGCAGAGAATCCCTGCCACACTCTGGACTCAGAAAGTGCTGAACGGTTCATGGCAGGCAGGGCCCTCCTCATGGGCGGCATCTGCAGCTTGGTTCCTCCAGGCACCGCCGGGCTGCAGCAGTTTTTCCAGGCTGGTGCGTGCCTGGTCTCTAAGGAAGAGTCAGAAATAAAGAACTCCCCAAAGTGGTTCAGATCTCTACTTGAGACAGGAACGAGGAGCAAAGAACAGGGAGGACCTGAGGCTGCATGGCCCATGCAGACCTCCCAGCACATCCACCCTGCACATCCACCCCACTGGCTCTGAAGCTGGCCAAACCCTAAACCAAGGAAGGCGAGAGGACCAGGAGAAATGACAAAGGAAAGGGGCTCTCAGGAGAAAAGGCATTGCGTGGAGAAGGTGCTAGAAGAATAGTGTGAAAACTGGAGAAGCTATCAAGAGGAGGAGCACAGGCAGGAGCACGGAGCCAGGAGTCCCCCAGGCAGGGAGCTTTGAGACCACAGCCTTGCATTGTCACCTCCTGGTCCACCTTGCAGGGCCTCTGAATCCTCTGAGAAGGGACTCGGGGGGTGAGATGAAGACACGATTCAAATGGGATTCCTAAAGAGCACTCTTGTAACGCTAGGTTCGCCTTGATCTGGGCTTCCCTACACACTGTTTGAGTCTTTCAAACCACAGGAAGATGAGGAATGGGACCCTGTTCCCCGAGTTCCCTGCAAGGCGGTGGCTCTGGACCACACATGCTGGAAACAGAAGGGGGCCCAGATAGTCTCGGGCTTGCTAGACAGGGTAGCCTGCGTGACTGTCACTGCTGGCCGAAGAAAGGCCACTGCTATAGGTGCTGCCAGGGTTCTTCCCAAAATTTTTCAGTGGTAGACAGGAGAGAGCCAGTGGATAATACCCTTACCCTTTGCTGTCTGTTGGGCCAAAATCCAAGGCATGATTTTCCACTGGGCCAGGGCATTGGCATTCATAAGCAGCATGTGGACATGCTGAGTGTCTGGCTTGCCTCGTGCGGCTCATCAGGAAGCAGTGGCCAGCATGGGGATGCCTCACCTTGCCTTTTCTTCCTTTTTTCTCTACTCTCCCTGTCCTGTCCTGGGATCACACCTCCCGATAAAGCTTTCTTTCTTTTTTTTTTTTCTTTTGATACAGTGTCTCCTCGCCCTGTCACCCAGGCTCTGGAGTGCAGTGGCGCAATCTCAGCTCACTGTAAGCTCAGCCTCCTGGGTTCACGCCATTCTCCTGCCTCAGCCTCCTGAGTAGCTGGGACTACAGGCACCTGCCACCACGTCCAGCTAATTTTTTGTATTTTTAGTAGAGACGGGGTTTCACCATGTTAGCCAGGATGGCCTTGATCTCCTGACCTCGTGATCCGCCTGTCTTTTCCTCCCAAAGTGCTAGGATTACAGGCATGAGCCACCGTGCCCAGCCAAAGCTTTTGTTCTTAAGCCTGTTCCCTGGCTCTGTTTTCTAGGGAACCTAAACTAAGACACTGGATACTGAAAATGGTTTGACAAAGCAGACCCTCACTCAAGGCTTCATGTTGGAATCGATCTGTCCACCTGTCTCAGAGTCACAGGGTCTCCATACCTCTGGTAAGTGGGATTGTAATGACCAGGGGTCAGCAAACTATGGCCTGTTCTTCCATGGCTTGTAGACTAAAGGGAAAGGGAGGCAGAAAAGTCAGAGAATATGCTGCAGGTATCACACAAGGCCCACAAAGCCTGTATTACTTACTATCTGTCCTTTTACAGAAAAAGTTTGCTGACCGCCGGTGACCGCTCATCACACAGTGGCATTATGATTCCTGGAGTTTTCACCTGTGGTCAGTTATGATGGGAGCAGCCAGAGAGCAAGGCACTGGGTGGTGCTTCCTGAGTGGGAGACAATGACAATGATAATAATTATGCAGAAGGGTGGTACCTTCTTATGTTGGAGCTGAACACCCGGAAGAAAGGAAACGGTGGGCTTGGGAGAGTTCATTGCCAATCTAAGACAAATTTTGAAAGCCCAAGGGCCTCACTGGCAGCTCAGGAGATTTACATCTCCTACAGCCACTGGGTAGGAGAAATCACTGTTGAAAATCGGCCAGGCACATGACTCACGCCTGTAATCCCAGCACTGTGGGAGGCCATGGCAGGGGGATTACCTAAGATCAGAAGTTCGAGACCAGCCTGGCCAACATAGTGAAAAATAAAAATTAACCATCTCTACTAAAAATACAAAAATTAGCAGGCATGGCGGCATGCGTCTGTAATCCCAGCTACTCAGGAGGCTGAGGCAGGAGAATTGCTTGAACGTGGGAGGCAGAGTTTGCAGTGAGCCAAAAAGAAAAACGAAAATCAGATCTTGAGGCTGGGTGCAGTGGCTCGTATCTGTAATCCCAGCACTTTGGGAGGCCGATGGGGGCAGATCACTTGAGGTCAGGAGTTCGAGACCAGCCTGGCCAACATGGCAAAATCCCCATCTCTACCAAAAATACAAAAGCGAGCCAGGCATGGCGGTGCGTGCTTGTAATCCCAGCTACTCGGGACGCTGAGGCAGGAGAACTACTTGAATCCAGGAGGCGGAGGTTGCAGTGAGTCGAGATCACGCCACTGCACTCCAGCCTGGGCAACAAAGCAAGACTCTGTCTCAAAAAAAAAAAAAAAAAGAAAGAAAGGTCTCAAATTTGATAAGGATTGAAAGCTACAAAGGAGACTAAAGTCATAGCCTTGACAGGCCTGCTACATCAGTCAGGAGCCAGATAGCGAATGGTCCTGAGACCACGGCTATGGACAATTGAGTAGATAAGCTGAGAATCTCAAACCCCCAAATTCTCAGAAGCCTTCAAGCCAACAGAAGCAATTACTTCCTCCTTGCCAGAGAACAGGTTTTTTTTTTTTTTTTTTTGAGACAGAGTCTCGCTCTGTTGCCCAGGCTGGAGTGCAGTGGCACAATCTTGGCTCACTGCAAGGTCCACCTCCCGGGTTCACGCCATTCTCCTGCCTCAGCCTCCCGAGTAGCTGGGACTACAGGCGCCCGCCACCGCGCCAGGCTAATTTTTTGTATTTTTAGTAGAGATGGGGTTTCACCTTGTTAGCTAGGATGGTCTCGATCTCCTGACCTCGTGATCCGCCCACCTCAGCCTCCCAAAGTGCTGGGATTACAGGCGTGAGCCACTGCGCCCGGCCGAGAACAGGTTGTTCTTACGGAATATTTTACCTGTGGCAGGGGTCCTGCAAGGTGTTTGTTCTCAAGACCTGCCCTCACCACTGCTCCTTGATGCCAGGCCGACATCCAGGGTCAGACTTCACCACAGCTAGAGCAGAGAGGCATATGCTCAGCTTTGGTCAGAACTGTCCTGTTCTCCAAAGGAATTGCAGAGCTAACGTGTGCCAGCAGGATCTTAAGGAACACAGGTGACGCTGGTTCTTCCCAGTGTGGTGGGGGAGGAGCATAACACTAGATCAGTGGCTGGAGAATAATTCGTTGGCACAGGGGCAGTCATCTGTGATTTGGAACTCGATGCTTTGGCAAGGACACCAGGAACTGATTCCAATCATTTGTTGGGCTGACTCCAGTGGTGTGCTAGTTAATGTTTAACAATTGGCTCTCTGGAAAAATAAAAAAATAAAAAAATAAAAAAAAAGAAAGAGGAAATATGTAGCATTTATCCATTTCTGTAATGCAGATACTCCTGCATGACCCATTTCAAGCTACCACCGTGACCTCCTGTGAAAGTGGTGATGCCATCTAAGGCCACATGCATGGAGAGAAGCCCACCCTGCTTGCCCTGGGTTCAGGCCAACATGGCCAACCTAAGCAATTCCTTAGAAAACAGAGTTTGGATCTGCCCAGTTACAAGGAGAAATGGACCTCCCAACGTTCAACATCTAGAAGACTATTTTTCTAAACTCTTTGTTAAAAGATTTTAAAAGGGGCTGTTCTTACCAAATCTCAATAAAATGTCCATTGTAAGATATTTCTCAGGGTTATTAAGACCTATGGCTTCTTATAAACTCCTTTTGCTCTAAGGCAGTTCATGTTGGAAACCAGCCACAAAAATGATAATTTTGGATTTGTAATCATTGCTATCAAGACATTGTGTGTGGTAGGGACCGGCCTTTCTGTGTTAAGCCACTCCTCCTCTTTGTGGCCTTAAAATCTACCATCAATACAAAGGAGGCAGTTGTCTGCTGAGTGAGGGCCTGGCTAGGCCAGCGTAGCTCTCCCACATATTGATGTAAATCATTAGGGTTCCAGTGAAAGATGCAGGTTCTGTCTGAGTGAAGAGAGCCAGAAGTCCAGGCTGACCTCAGCATTTCAGTCCCCAACTTATTCCAACTCTTGGGGTCAAAGGCCAAGAGGAGGTCCCACGAAATCTGGGAAGGGTTTGCACTGCTCCCGATTGTTTCCCGGATGCAGGAAGGGTGAGCGTTGTCAGCCATGGACTTGCTAGGCGTGAGACCCTGCTGATCTTCGTGCCTCATATTGGCCTGAGAAACCAAGATTTGCTATTTGGTTTGAAAAATATGAACGTACCGGCCGGGCACAGTGGCTCGCGCCTGTAATCCAACAGTTTGAGAGGCTGAGGTGGGCGGATCACCTGGGGTCAGGAGTTCAAGACCAGCCTGGCTAACATGGTGAAACTCCATGTCTACTAAAAATACAAAAAATTAGCCAGGCGTGGTGGCATGCACCTGTAATCGCAGCTACTTGGGAGGCTGAGGCAGTAGAATCACTTGAACTTGGGAGGCGGAGGTTGCAGTGAGCCAAGGTTGTGTTATTGCACTGCAGCTTGGGCAATAACAACAAAACTCTGTCTCAAAAAAAAAAAAAAATGAACTTACCTTATAGAGGAGGTGTATGAGTTAACAGATAGGTTTTTAGGGGTGTGCCTTCATGTCAGCGTATACTTGCAAGAAAAACCTGAAGGAATTCTCAAACTTCTACAGTGCTTGCTTTCCTCTGGTTGGTAGAATATGGTGACATCAGTTATCCTTTTTATATTTTTCAGTATCTTTCATATGTTCTATAAAAAGCATTTAAAATAATTTACATAAAGTATAAATTATATGTAATATACTTTTATATATTAAATGCATTTTATAATTAGAAAACATAAATATGGAAATGCTGTAGACTATTACATATAAAATAAGAAACTTATTTTGAGCAGGATATTTTGTATCTGCTTAAAATGGCTTGCTTTGTTAATAGAGATGGAGAACCTGGGCAGTAAAAAGCAAAAGCATTAAATTTTTTGTACTGTGAAGTTATTTTTATTTGACTTCTGTTCATTTCCAGTCTTTGTCTTCAGTAATTAGATATGAGTTTCATGCTATTTTGAGCACCTGTTGCTGGAGGTTTACCAAGCTTATGTTTATCATCCAAACCTTTGTAGAGATTGTAAACAAATAAAGTAGTCTAGAGAGGAAAATTCAGATGATAAAAACAAATAAACCACAGAAAGCAACTCAACAGATACAGACCAGGCATGACTGTGAGGGCAACAAATAGCTAACATAGGAGTGTGAACACTCAGATGGGATTGAAGACATTCGATACTTGAGGGCTTTTCAGTCAAATCAGCACAAAAATGCTACAGAAAAGGTAAAACATAAAATAATGGACATTGGTATATCTGTGAAGCAAAAGAAGGCAGAGGTGGCAATATTGCTAAAAGACAAAGCAAAACGTGTGCTTTTCTCGGCCGATATCCTATTCTGACAGCCATAGAAAAGAATGTGCCAATGGAAAGCCCCAGAAGGGGAAATGTAAAAGTGTCCATTTCCGTTGGGGTGGAAGGAGGAGTGTGTCTTCCTTGCTGTTTTCTCAGCTCTCCACATGGTCTTCCTGCTTTGCTCGGGTGGACTCCCGTGCTCTTTCTCACTTGGATTAAAAACAATAACAACAACTTTCTTTTTTTTTTTTTTGAGACGGACTCTCGCTCTGCTGCCAGGCTGGAGTGCAGTGGCATGATCTCGGCTCAATGCAACCTTCGCCTCCCGGGTTCAAGCGATTCTCCTGCCTCAGCCTCTCGAATAGCTGGGACTACAGGCACGCGCCACCACATCCAGCTGATTTTTGCAGTTTTAGTAGAGACTGGGTTTCACTGTGTTGGCCAGGATGGTCTCGATCTCTTGACATCGTGATCCACCCGCCTCGGCCTCCCAGTGTGCTAGGATTACAGGCATGAGCCACTGCACCGCCACAACAACTTTCTAGGAGTGTCTGCTTCAAGGCCATGTATCTCTGAGGTGGAGACGTGCAGGTGAGGCTCTTCCTGGAACCGTTGGGGCAGTGTGGAGGGGGCCCTCCTCCTGCTCAGGACGCTGGATGTCGCCCCCAGCCAGGTCATTGTGCCTTCTGGGGCAAGCGCTTGTTCAGGTGATTTGGGCCCTTCCTGCTCTGATGCCTAGAGGCGCCCAGGTTTGAACGTGGGGCTGCCCTACCAGAGCTCATGGTTCCCCATCCATGAAGATGAGGTCGGGCCCTGTGTGTCATCTGGTGCAGACACTGAGTCCTGCCACCAGGACGTCCGTCTGTGCTGGACTCACTAGAGTCCTGGCCCTCATGGGATGAGAAACGACTTTCCCTGTCCCCAGCGTTCACTTCCTGTGTCCCCTGCTTTCACTTCCTGTGTCCCCTGCTTTCACTTCCTGCTAGCGCCTGAGACCAGTGACTTGGGTCTCATGGTGCCTCCCACTCCGGTTTTCCAACTCCCATTCTTCCTCGTCCTCTCCATGTGCCTGCTCAGGACTCCTGAGTTCTCGAAAACTCAAAACTCATCACACAAGTGTCCCTCCCAGGCAACTTTTGATGGCATCCCATGACAGGGATAGTGGAGGCTTTTTTATTTCTAGGAATTAAGTTCTTGTCATCTTGGGCTACAGGTTTAGGGCTTCTCCCCAAGGCAGTTCGGAACTTACTTAAAGTAAGAACAATTTCCCCCTTCTCCCAAGGATGCACTTCACCTGATCCTGTCCAAGGCTTGTTATGGTTGTTTTTACTCTTTTCTCCCCACTTCTCCTCCCTCTCCTCAATATTCAGGATATAAAGATTTTGGGCCATATTTATCTAACTCCAGAGATGACTTTCCTTTAGGACATCCTATGTTGGCCAACAGAGTGCCGCGGCATCTGCTGCCTCATCTCGGAAGGGCTCCCTGTTGATCTGTGGGCAGAGCTTCTCCTACTGGGAATTGCCCCTCCAGGGCATTGGAGCGGAGGCCAAGGCCTGTGACACCCAGAAAAGCCGTGTCTAGCCCTGGCAGCTCTGTGCCAACAGCTGCATGACCCAGTGTAGGGGTGTGTGTGTGTGTGTGTGTGTGTGTGTGTACTATCAGCAGGGACCAGCATCTTTCACTGGCGTCAAAAGACTGACCCATTTTCAGCAACAATCTTTTTGCAGCCGACGAAGGCTTTGTTGGGTTTGTATAGGCGACCAGTTGAGCCGGGTTTGTGTTTTAGAGAAGTGGTGAAGTCTTAGCAGGTGGGAAGGAAGCTCGGCCATGGCTCTCCAGTGAACTCCCTCCTCCTTTCTTCTTGGAAAATTTCCAGGACCCCATCTCAAGCGTCCCCTCCCAGGACTGACTCTGGTCTGTCTCTTTGCTGGGTTAGGTAGGAGGAAGGCTAGTGGGATGCCCATTACTGATTTTTGTCATCTACTGCTCAGTCTGGATTCCCCACTCCCTCTGCTAGCACCTCTGCTGGGCTTGGTCACCCACCTGGCAGGATGACACAGACCTTCATCCCAGCTGCTACACCCTCTTCAGGCTGCAACTGCCGTGCTTGTCCATTTCCCATCAAAACCAGGCAGGAGAGTACCAAGTGATGCCCCAAAAGCCAACTGTGTGCTAAGGTTATACTTCTCCACCCCAGTTCCAGCAGCCCCTCCTGCTCTTGAGGATCAGAGCCAGTCACCCCTGCTGGGACACCAACTCCTTTCCTTGCTTGCTGCTTTTTTGGCACAGAGCCTGACGTGACCAGTGACAGTCATAGCTTATTGTCCACTGGGTCCCCTGGTGGCAGTGTTCCCCCTCTGGGGAACAGGTTTCTAGAACTGCAAAGCACAACATGGAGGGGACGAGAAGTTCAAATTCGCCAACTGGATCCCTGGAGGTCATGGTTAGGGGGCTGTTCCTGCTTCTGCTCCTGGGTTCCCAGACCCATGCATTTTATCAGGTGGAGACAGCAATTTATGATGGTCACTGATTTAGGGTATATTTTGTGTCTTAAAAGATGGAATCCCATCCTCAAAGGGTATTTTCTCCTCAGCAGAGCCAAGAAGAGGACCACTCCATCACTCACACAGATTGGCAGCATCTGAATGGCATGGTAAGGAATGGGCCCAGGGGAGCCCATGGTCATGTATCCAACACCATAGCTCCTTTGCTGTAAAGTGAGTCTTTTTGGTCCAAAGCAATGCTATGTGGTATTCTACATCCATTGATCTAACGTTCTATAAACCTCCAGATAGTGTTCATAAGGGCAGGAAAGACAAATCCACACTTGGGGTATGTCTTGGGTCACTCAAAATGAATCACTGCCTCACCTTTAGGGCAATATAATTGAGTTTAAGTCCAGTATAATCAACCTTCCACCTAGTGGCTGGTTGAGCTCCTCCCAGTGGCACTCTGCTGGGAGCTCAGCTTTGGTGTCTTGCTGTTAAGCTGGATGTTCAGCAGTTGCTGGAACTAAATCAGCCTTGGTGAGTTGGAGGCCACACTTTTGGGCCCACAACATCCCGCCTCCCAGCCACCACTGCTACTCACTGAATGGCCAATGACACAGGCAGGCTGACTCCAAATGATCAAAGCATCTTCCTACATGGCTGCTGCGTGCCTTTTCTGTGGTGGTGCTCTCGGGTGGCTGTTAGCATGGGACACAGATACCTTCACACACATGTCCACTCCCATGGTCCTAGCTGTATGCATGACCCTTCCACTAAACTCCTGGTCCCAAACCTTTGAATTTTCCAGGCCCAGAGCTGCAACAACCGAGTCTTTTGCCACTGTCCATGGGTCTGAACATATTCTTAAGCCAAGCCACTTATCTTTCTACACAAAATGGAGAGCTGAGTGTACTGCCTAAGCATGGTGGGCAGAACAGTGGGCCCCCAAACATGCCCATGTCTGGAACCTGTACATCTGTTTTGGTACAGGGGAAAAGCAACCATATGTCATTACATTGAGGATCTTGAGATGGGAAGATTATCCTGGATTATCTGGGTGGCCCAGTGCAATCATAAATGTCCTTATAAGTGAAAGATGGAGGCCGGGTGTGTGGCTCACACCTATAATCCCAGCACTTTCGGAGACCAAGGCAGGTGGATCACCTGAGGTCAGGAGTTTGAGACCAGCCTGACCAACATGGTGAACTCCCATCTCAACTAAAAATACAAAAAAAAAAATTAGCCGGGTGTGGTGGCAGGCACCTGTAATCCCAGCTGCTTGGGAGGCTGAGGCAGGAGAATCACTTGAACCCAGGAGGCAGAGGTTGCAGTGAGCCGAGATCGCACAATTGCACGCCAGCCTGGGCAACAGAGTGAGATTCTATCTCAAAAAAAAAAAAAAAAAAAAGTGAAAGAGGGAGCCAGGAGGGCCAAAGTCCGAGAAGGAGGTGTGGCCATAGAAACAGACGTTAGAATGATGTCGTTTCTGGAAAGGGTGCATGAGCCCGGGAATGCAGGTAGCTTCTAGAAGCCGAAAAAGGAAATGAAATGGATTGTTCCCTAGAGCCTCCAGAAGGAATATACCCCTGACAACACCTTGACTTCAGCCCAATAAGACCAAGTTTCAGCTCTGACCTCCAGAATTGTAAGAGATTCCATTTGTGTTGTTTTAAACTCCTGCGTTTTTGGAAATTGGTTACAGCAGCAACGGTGAACTAATACACCAAGTTTCTGTCCATGGGGAGATTGGGAGAGGCAGTCTCTCAGCACTGGCTTTCAGGGAGGCCCCTGAGTGAGGCTACGGTGCAGCAGCTATCTATTTTTAGGCATTTTTTTGCATCCCACACTGAGCCAACC